TTTATTCACCAATCTCCCCCAATCTCTTAGGGATTGAAAATGATAATTCCCTCTTTGCTGGCTTTCATCATACTGGGACTCATTCAATTATCTTTCATGTCTATTGATCAGGGCTTAAGAAGTTGCCTTTTCCTCAAATCTGTTGATCTAAGACTGGAGTGGCCTTAACAATTCTGACCCTACCTTCTCTCTTTCACTGTCTCTTGCTGCTGATTTGCTGCATGTGAATTTCATAACCTTTTTTTGTCTACTTTTCATTCATCAGTTATAAAAATTATAGAAAATTACAATTTCATTAAAATATTTTTTAGAGATTGATTTAATTTTTTTTGTTTGTTTTCATATTTTATTACTCAGTTTTGCTTTCTGCTTCCCATAATCTCTGACAAATAATGAAATTTCCTCTCACAGGCATGGTCCTGCTAGTGCTTTATAAACCAGTCTCTCTCTGGTAATGTGGACTTGAGAGAAGCTTTACTGCACTAAATTTTTGGGCACTGATGCTGTGTTTTTGTCAATGGATGCAGTTCCTTCAAATTCTTTGCCCTCAAACTTACTCCTGCTAGAAGTGAAGTTGTCCCAAGCCTTCTTGTGCTCTGTGGTGAGCTGTTTTGTCTGGTGTTCTGTCTGTGCTGTTTCTGGTGAGGGCTCAGTGAATTCAAGGGCCATGGGCTCCCTCTCCCTGGGTATGTTTTCTCTGCCTGTGCATTTCCTGACTGAATTCAAGAAACAGAAGCAGATGGGGTTTATGATTTCACCTGTTCTGCTTAGCAGGTTTTTAAAAGTTTCTCCCCAGGCCTCCCCATTCCTCTGCACTGGCCCTGTACAGCCCCAAGGCTGATGCATTATTTCTGATAATCATTGTTTTTTTGCAATCAGTCACTTTTTTCCAAGTGTGACTACACACATGTGCCTACATTCACAGTCAGAAAATGTGATGTATCACACAGACAATTTCCTGGAAGTTGAAAGAGGTGAAGAGTTGGAAAAGTGAATTTTGTTATTGAATCACAGAATCAGAGAGAGGTTTGGGTTGAAGAAACCTTAAAGACCACCCAGTTCCAACCCCATTGGACACCTTTCCCTAGACCAGATTGCTCAAAGCTCCAACCATCCTGGCCTTGAACACCTCCAGGGATGGGACATCCATGACTTCTTTGGTGAAGAACAGATGGAAAAAATCCAGGAAATATTGAAGAAATTGAACAAATGGCTGCCTGTCTGAAAATTATATTTTTTGGCATCATTTATACTGAACACCACCCCCAAAGAAAGGCAGATATAAAAAATGAGATACAGTGATGACCTTTATCAGCTCTGGTGAAAACTATAAATCAGACTGCAAGTTCTCATCAGCTTGCTGGACAGAATTCATTACAGACAGAGGCCACTGCATTGCTTTCTGGCTTTGATTGAGGTATGTCCCATTTTAAAAAATGTTCTTGCACTGGAACAAATCACAGAAGTCCAGGAATATCATTCATCTTTTGAGGACTAAGACCCAGCTAAACTTCACAGTGTTTTGTTTGGAGTATAATGCAGATCAATTTGTTCTTCTCTTAAGCAGACCAATTTTCTGTTCATTAACTCAGACAGTGTGTTGATGGCTGGTTTTGAATATAATGGCAAGATTTAGAGCCCTAAAAAATCAGCACTGCTTCATTTATTTCTTTTTTTATGCATTCTAAAAGTACATGTGGCAGATTAGCAACTGATTTTAAACTTGTTACGGTTTAACAAAAAATGGGAAAGTCTGTTATCACCTACTTCCAACCATGGAACAACTGTTAAGTAATCTTGAAGTTTCATAGTTTATTAAAATGTTATGAGGGCCTTTTTGGAGCATAAGGAGCAATAAAATTTGGTAGCAATGTCATTATGGGCAGTAATGTGACTTCCATCAGCTCCTGCAATGTTCAAGAAACAGCTTCACAGACTCATTAGATTAATAGGCTACTTTACCTATGTTCTGAACTTGGAGCTGAATTTCATTGCTCTTTTCTTTTCTGTAATTAGGAAATATCCTAAGAGCCTTACAATTATCCAAATGTTTTGCTGACCATGCTTAAAACATTTTTTTTTCCTGTCTGGAACTTAGTGTGGATTGGAAAACATTCTGTGTTGTTGACAGAGAGTGATTATTAAAGCAGTAATGTTTTCAATGTTTTCCAACATGTCTGATAATTAGGCAATAGTCTGTCTCTCAGTTTTCCTGGGTTGCTGTTGTTTTGGTTTTTTTTGGTTTTTTTTTTTTTTTCTGGAATGCCTGAAATATTTCTGGAAAATAAAAATTTAGGCTACATACTTTCCTTTTATAACAAAACAAATAATTCTTCAGACTTTGTGGCCTGAGTATATAAAGATCAGCTATGTACCGAGCGTTAAATCTTTTATTACCTCACTTCCTAAATTGTTGGCATAAACACTTTTCTTAAGGATCTGGACACAGAAGCTGGAAGTTAGAGTTGTAAATAAGTTAATGCTGGATCAGACCCCAGGGATTTTCTCTTCTGGCATAAGGCCCAGGACAAGGGCAAATACTTAGCAAAGAGTCTGAAGAGCAGGTAAATCTCTCAAGTTGAGGATTCAGGATATTCCTTTAGTCCCTCCCAAGGGCTGGTTCATGAGCTTCCTGAAAAGCATTCCCCTTCAAGACATCTAATCTTTGAGGGATTTTGCTTCCATTTTTCTAATTCTAGTTTTGATCCACCTGCAGCCCTGGCATCTGCTCTGGGACTGTGACTTCCTCAGTTTGTTTGCCTTCAGCATGAAGAAATAATCCCATTTATTTGTGTTGAACCTGACACTGGCTGGTGTCATCTGCTCCCTTCCAGTATTTATGTTGGAAAAGGAAGGGAATAAGCATCCATTATTTATCTTCTCCATACTGCTTATGACTTTTTTGACTTCTGTCCTGGCTCTGTTCAACCAGTTCTTTCTCAAGTTAAAGTTTCTTAGTTTGTTCAGTCATAAATTGTATGTAGGAATACTTTAAAGATAAATGTAAGTCAGTCTAATTCAGACCCTTTTTTTTTATTTAAGACAGAAGTTGCTGATAAAATCTGTTTTATAATTTTAAAAAGAGTTATGCTTTGAGAATTTTGCCTATGAATCTGCAGGGCTGCTGCTCTGATTGAGACTCAGAATTTTAAAGTCTCTAAAACCTTGTGGTTTTGAGAGGATCAACTGCATTGCAGCAACCATTTGCCCTTCCAGAATCTGATTCATCCTAATCTCGGGGAAGATTTCTTCTTCCTCCACTTATGTGTAAATCTGTGATATGGAGGAAGAGATTTTTTTTTTTTTTTTTATTGACAGCAATAAGTAGAGGGTAGATTTTCATCTGCAACTTCAGAGCATTTCATAAAGCTGGTTAGTGACTGTGATAAGGATTACCATAACCAAGTTGGAAATAAAAGACTGGAACATGGATAAGGATCATGCTAGGTGTGTACCCCCAAGTTTTGAAAGAACCAATTCTCCAAACCCAGTGTTGTCTTTAGCAGGTGACCCCAACTGGGCAGTGCACACTTCTGCAGGTACAGTGAGCTGAGTTTGTGCTTGTACCCATCCTAGAGGGTTTAAACTCAACTTTTACTCATTGCAGGACATCCTACATGTAATGTTAAACCATCCACACATGCTGTCATCTTATTTCAAGGCTCCCATACCTTCTCAGTGATTTATCATGATTGTTGTTATCTTATTGCAAAAGTTCCATACCTTCTCAGTGATTTTTCATAGGCATCTCCTCACAGCACTAACTCCTCCTTCCTCACAACACAGCCAACAAACTCCAACTCTCTCCCCAACCAGCAAACCCACCCTTTTGTAGCCTTCTTCTTCTTATTGGACACAGTTGTGGCCTGTTAAGGGCAGGTCTGTTCGTGATCTTTGGGGGATTAGTACAGCTACAACTCCTCAGGTGTGAGATTACCTTCTGCATTATCTTTATTTTCTTACATTCTATCCTCCCACACACATGTCCCTAGCCCTTGTTGTATCATGGTGATACTCCTGGAGCAGCCACTATATGGTAGGTGGTGAGGAATTGTTTCCCTAACTGGAACTGGAGGTTTGGTAAGATCAGAGAAGGAAAGCAGAGGTTTGGTAGGATCCATCAGTTCTCAGTTTAGCCAAGTTGCAAAAAAATCATAACTCTAGTCCTGTGCCAAGAGAAACTGCAGATTCCTTTAATGGCAGAGCGCTTGGGACTTGGGTTTTATGTTTTATCTGCAGGGCAGTGCATGTAAGCACTGATCAGACTTGAACTTCAGTTTATGACATACCTTTATTGTTGTAATGTTTTTCATGCTGAACCTTTGCCCTGCTGCCTAACCCTCATTTGGAGTCCCTTTCAAATGTCTGCCCCAGCCTTTCTGTCAGGCAGGCTGTGTGCTTTGAGAGCTGGACACTGTCTCCAGTATTTTTCTTCTTGTCCACCTGTCTTGAGAGCTGGAGCATCCCAAAGTGCACAGACACAAGCAGATTTGCCTTGTTTCGTGTGCAAATGGTGATTTCTCTGCATGTTTCTCCTGCTGATATAAGTCTGCAGCACAAATGTCAGAGTTGGAGCACAATATTAGGTTCCAGAATCTGCTTTGTTAGGGGGTCATTTGCCTTTCCCTTTCAGAGATTTTCCAGGCTTATTAAACTCCTACAGAGACTGTGGAACTGAGAAACGTTTAATCATAAAGAATGGGTTTTTTTGACCTTGTTTTCTACACTAACTATACAGCGTGCTGTGTATGTACATTCAAACCAGGTCACTCTTGCATTCATCTCAGGGAAAGTGTGGCACAACAAACATGTGACAAACACCAACCACATCATTTTATGGCTGTCTTCAAAGCCACTTTTAGCAATGGCTGTGTTAATAAATAATTTGAGTTCTTCAGAAAGAAGTTCCCAGCAGTACTTTTGGGTTTAAGTCCGTAATTAGGTTCCACACAAACACAATTTCAGATTTCCTTAACAACGTTTTGTTTTCCTCCTTGCAGATAATGAATTCATTTATAGAAACCAGAATGGCACAGTGATTCTGAGGAATGTCGAAACCAACAGTTCAACAATATTAATAGAAAACAAAAAAATTGTAAGTATTTTCTATGACAAGTAGCTGAATTTCACAGCTCTCTGGCAGTTGGATCAGTAAAGCAGAAAATGACTTGGGTTTCAACTTCATGTATTGTCAAGGAGAAGCAATTCACTGGTGCTACAATGGGCTATGCAGTGATGGATAATGTGAGATTGAACTCCAGCTTTGGTATTATTCTGCAAGCTCAGTTTCTCTCATACTTCTGGAAAGTATCTTATAGAGATTTGCAGCTAGTCTTGCATATCATATATAATTGAAAGATGCAAATTCTCATCTCTGCATGCTTAATAAAAAGGACAATTGATATCATTTACTGTCTATTGCCATTCTCTACATTCCTCCATGCAAATACTTTTTTTTATTTGTGCATTTGCTGATTTTTCTTGCCTAATGGTTGAAATGTGATTTCAGTGTTTTTTATGAGCAGTGCTAAGGAAAAGAAGTGGAGTTGTATTTGAGAGAAACCCTAATTGTGGGAAGGAGTTAGTAGGTGACTATTAAAATGAATGTAAAGAAAACAAAGTCACATCTGATAGAGCTTATAAAAGTGTTTTGTAGCATTGTTTTGTGTAGTAGATGAAACCAGCATAGTGGCAGAGGTTAGTACATCAATTGTATTAATTATTTTTTAATGAGACAAAGAATTTATTACTGAATTATTATGTCAGGGCCCAAATTTCAACTTCACATGCTGCATTTAACCTTCAAACTTTACTGCATCACATAAGCAATCCTCTTTTACCAGAGTGTAACCTCTTTCTTTACAATTCTAAGGGAATGGGCTGGCTTCCTTTAATGTCAAGGTCTGTTGAAGTCAAATTACTTCCATTTGGCCTCTTGTTTATTCCACTGGATTTTAATTATTGCCGTTTGTAAGAAAAGCAGAGTGCTACAAGATAATCCTGCATTTTCATGCCATTTTCTACCCTACTGCCTGTTCTACCTTTGCTCCTCTGCCCTCACAGTAAATACATCTACAGGTCACCTCCACATTAACCCACAAAGCTTCAGTGCAGGAGCCAACAGTGCATTTACTCAGACATCTTTTTCCTCTTCCTTCCCAGCTCTGGGGCAAAAAACTTTTCTACTTGGTCATGTTTCCCCTTCTCCATGTTATTAACATAAAATTAGATAAAATATGTCTTCTGTAAATAAAATCTGTCTCCATTCTGCCCCTGCAGGTGCCCAGGCTCCCCCATCCCTCCCATCCTGAGCTGCTCTGGGTCAGCAGCCTGTGAGATGTCCCAGAGAGCTGCTGGGTGCCTCTTCCCTGGAAATGCTCAGGATCAGGTTGTACGGGACTCTGAGCAGCCTGGTCCAGCTGAAGTTGTCCCTTGTCAGGACTCAAGACATCTTTTTGGCTGTCTTGAGCAGCCAGGACTCTTGTTAGGGGTCTCAGAGACTGGCACAGACCTTAAAATGCTTGTAGTTTTGATTATGACTTGTGGAGCAAGTTACTAACTTTAGATGAAAATCTGCAAGCTACGATAAATTAAGTAGAAGGATAGTCAATTTATCATGAAGTGAAAAAGTAGATTTTAGGGTTTTTTAGAAAGAAGATTCAGAGAGCAAGATGGAGGGATCTGGGTGTGTCTATCTTTTCTTCTTCTTGGCCTCCATCTTCTGCTGTGGTGTTGGCACTTTTAGATTGGTTTAGAGTAGAATCTCACTGTCTAACATAGGTGATGGGTACTGGAAAGTAATTGTAAACATTGTATAAGTAATTTTTAGTATAAAGACATAACACCGCCCCAAGGGCGGAGAGAATGCCTCAGACTGTCTTGCTGAGCAGATCTCAGCTAGACAAGAGAAAAAGTTTTATAGATAAGATACAATAAACAACATTGAGACCAAGAAATGAAGATCCCTGACTCCTTCTTCAAGTGCCGGGCTGAGAAAAAAAGACTTTCTAACATTTCTCAAAGTCACTCTGACCAGTGAGAGACCCCAAAAGTCCCTGCTCATTGCAGGGGTTTGGACTAGGCAGCCTTTAAAGGTCCCTTCCCACCCAAATAATTCTGTGATGGTGCCACCTGTCCCCTCTGCTCCTGGCTGTCCCCACAGCACATCCATCCCTGCTGGCCTTGGGGAGGACTTTCCCCAATTCCCCTTTCAGTTTGGCCCCGTGGGACTCTCTCAAGGACTCAGATCTAATTTGTTAGATAAGAAGGTGAGATTTAAAAGGCAGTGCATGAGTGATGTGTTAGTGGCACATCTCCTTGACCTTGGTGCCATCTGTGCCAGCAATGCATTATGCTGAAACAAGCTGGGGAGGAGAAATGGCTTCACTACACAAATGAAAAGTGGAGCTGGAAAAAGGTAATTCCTGGCAGGTCTGAGGTAGCCTGGCATTTCTTCTTGTTAGCAAGATTTACAGTGCTGATTTTTGCAGAGCCCAGGTCAGGGTGCACTGGATCACTGCAGCATCCCTAAGACTTTTAACTGGGGAAAACTGAATATTTTTCCTCTGGGTTATCTTAATTGAGGGAGGTAGTGGTGTCTTTATTAATAATTTGTTCCAGAAGCTATTTACATTTATCTCCTGCACTGGCCAGTGAATACAGATAATGAGAGGAAATTAATAAATTGCCATTTATCAGAGCTTTCCACTAACTACTGCCTACACCTGCCACCTCACCAGCCACTGTGCAGTAAGGAAAATTCTGGGGTTTTTGATATAGCTGCCTGCTCTGAGTCACATTGCATTTATTCTTTCTCTTATGAGTGCCCACGTAACATTTCCGGGGTTTGAAAAAAAAAAAGATACTATATTTTTCAAGACAATTCTGGCAGTATTCTTCATCCTTAGAGAGATGATCAAAACCATTAGGTGTCATTAGCTTGAAAACTGATTAATATTTGTTTCAAAACTGTGTTTATTTTCCAGGTCTCCTTAAAGGCCATCCGGTATGAGGTGTCACCTGACAGGGAATATGCACTGTTTGCCTTTGATGTTGAGCCTGTAAGTAAACAGATTTCATTTCAAAATACACATCCAGTGGCAAACTTTTTTTATTTATTTATTTTTACTTTTATGTCAGCAAGATGATATTTTATATTAATTGCTTCCTATGAAAGAAAGCAAGAAACCCCCTCACTTAGCAATTCTGAGAGCATGTCACACTGCCATCTAGTAGAGGAGAAAGGTATAAATTAGACTGTGAGGAAACACTGTCACTGCCAGGGTTTTATAGCCTCTGGGAGGGGGATTGTAAGGACATGTCTTTGCTACAAGGATTTCTATTCCTCTTCTGTGATTTTTTTTTCCACAGTGCCTTTTTCCATCACCCTATAAATTTCTTTCCTAGAACAAAAAGCTACTGTCAGTGTCTCCCACAACTGAAATAATACATTAATTATGGTGTCACTATTCCCTGTGCTGCAGTTAGGCTTGAGCTATCACTTTCATTATAAATCCTTTTCTTCTGAGGGTTAGGTATAAATCATTTGTAAAAAATCACCATTAGGTTGATGCTAAGTTCTGGATTACAGCAAATTTTTTACCAGACTTCAAAAGGGAAAAATGTAATGAGTCATTTTTAAATGATGACCAAAGAATCAAACATAGGGGAAGCAATTCTTCTGCATGAATAATATTTTTGTCTTTCTCAATTCTGCTGGTATAAGGCCTGAAATGTTTGAGTGATAGCTATGCTGTACTACTTGGATGAACTATAAGCCCTATATATTTTGTTTCCATAGTCTAGAATATCACCAATTCTTCAAAATGAAAATAATTAATTCACTGACAGCTGTAATTGTTTTGGCCATAATGTAAATAACATTTCAGCTGCTAACCAAAGGAAATTTGTGGGTCCTTTAGGCAGTGAAAGTTGTAGCTCTGTTGCTTATCTCATTTCTATGTTATCATCTTTGTGGTTATTCCTGACTTGGTGCTATGAAAGTCAGAAGAAGCCTGTCTGGTTTTAGAAAAAAGAAAAATAAAACTATATCAGAAACTTAAGGAGTAATTCATAATGATTTTTCCTGGGAAATTACTGGTGGTGTGACTTCACTTACCCGAAGCTTAGCTGAGCTCTAGATAGAGATGGATGGGGAAGTGTTAAGTTAATTCTAAACATGGAAAAGGCAGCCTAAGGGTCACTGAGCAAGCAAAGCCTTTCTCTCAAATTTCCCTGCCTTGTAAACCAGAGATGTTTTGCAAAATGCATTTCTTTCAGTGAAAATCAGCCTTTGTCTGTGGAAGACCTGTGTCAACTCAGCTCAGATGGACTGTGCAAGCTGGAAGAGCCCTGAGGAGGGAGGGCTTCCTCAGTTCCTCTGAGAATGACAGAAAAATGCCTTTCATGACCAAGCAAACAAAAAAAAACCATAAAAAAACCCCATAAAAAAAAAAACAAAACTAAAAAAAAATAAAAAAGAGAAACATTTAAATTTCTGAAAAACAGTAATGAGAAAATAACTTTTTATTCTCAACCTTTATCCACTGAAAGGACTGAAAACTCTGAAGGCCTGAAAGAAACAGAGTTAGGGGGGCTTTTACAGCCCAGACTTTGTGTTGAGTCTGTGGAGGAGTGCGTGACGTGGTCAATGTGGCAGGAAAGCCATGGGAATGGAAAGGGATGGGCTGGATGTGCTTCCTCTGCATCCTCCTCTCTGCATGTCCATGCTTGCAGACCTGGTGAGTTTGACGCACAGAAAAATACTGAGTTTGTGGTTCTCAAGATGCCTGTCTGGAGAAGGGAGAGCAGCACACAGCCAGGTGCTTCCTGCATCACAGCACATCTTTTTCTAGAAAGGAAAACCCAGGGTGGGAAGCTGAAAACATTCTTGGGAACGATTCAGGATGTGGCCTATACTCACTGTAAGAGAACATTGCAAGTTGTCCCGTTATTCTTATATAGCAAGAGCTCCTGAAGCAAAACAAACCCTCTTTTATTTCTTTAAGATCCATGTTTATGGAGAAAAGAAAATTTGTTGGGTTTGTTTTGTTTTGCTCTGTTTTGAAGCATGCTAATAGAGGGGTAGTTGGGTTCAGTCTTGGTTATTGCAGCCTTCAGCCATGATGGTGGCTCTCTGTATTAAAATGGCAATAATTGCTAAATTATTTCTTCAGCTTTCTTCTCCCTTGGTATGCAGACTGTGGCTGCAAATAATTGCATGTTAGTTAGCTCTTCACATTTTCTGCATTTCAAACTGTACTCTTGGACAAAATTCAAATTACGCTGTTTTCTGCAACACAAGGAATTGATCAGGAAAGCCTTGGGCAGTTGTCCTTGTTGCAAAGTCAAAAGGAAATTTCCGGAGATGTATTGGCAGAGGACATGTCTTTAAACTTTAATTCTACAATTTCAAAAAAGGAGCTTCTTGGAATTATTGCATACTTTACTTATTTTTTAGCCATCAGAAATTGTTTCTTATTTCTTTGGCATTTGAAAGTGTGATGTGCTGCCTTTTAATTGTTTGTGAGTATAGATATTTTCATCTTTTTTTTTTACACAGTACAGTTGTGCTGCTTTAATATGCATAGTATGAATTAATAATTTGTCTGAATTCTGAAATGAATGGATTCAGCCTCTATGTTTAATACCAGCCAGGAATAAACATCAAAATAGAGGAGCACAATGTGTCACTCCAATGAAGCGGAATATTTTTAAGAAAAGTGCCACAAAGTCATTTCCTTCCAGTAATAGCTGCTTCTATATTTTTCTATTTATTTGCACAGAAGCATGTCTGCTCAGTGTTGGTCTGGGTGACAGCACTGACACCCACTCTGGAATAACACAGCACTGAACTGCCAGACACCTATTTTGCAAAGACACTGAGGCAGCTAATGTGTGTTTTCCTGTTCTATCACTTTATCATTTTAAAGGATAATGAATTAGACCACATTCCTTAAAACATATTTCTCCAAGGAAGCTTGGCAGACAGCTGTGAGGCTGGTGTGGGTACATTGTGGCTAGTCCGGCTGTCAGATTTCATTGTAATGCTTTTTTTTGCAGTGCTTATATTTACAGAAGTTTAATCTTTCAGGCAGCAATATTCTGAGTAAGCCTTGTGCTAATAGGGAGCTTTTCTAACCTTGAACACAGAAGATTTGTTCTTTTTCTGGAAAGGTCACAGGAAAGGCACCAAGCTCCTTTGTCTTGAAATACTCCCACAGTTTTCCTGCTGTTTATTTTTAGTTTCTTTACACCTCAACAAGGTGCAACCTGAGGCTGAAACAACAGAGTGAAATTTCGGGAAAGCATCAGGGAATAAACACCTCCATGGAGGAACTTTGATTTCAAATCATCCTTCACCAAAACAAGTGTGTGGGGCTCTGATACGAGGTTTAATAACCCCAAAACACATGGGCAAACAGGGTTTGGCCACAGCAGCTCAGCAGAAGGGGGCAGAGGCTCAGGGCTGTCTCTGGTGGTGCCTGGCCAAGGACATTCCTGCCCAGCCCCTGGCTCCAGCAGCACTGATGGATGTGGCATTCACATTCTCTGAACAGGAACCCTTCACCCAGCGTTATTTTCCTGGGAAGCTGAAAGGCAGTGAGAGGCCTCAGAGCAAAGGAAAACTGTAAGAGCAGAAATGAGAGATGTGGGACTCCAGGCAACTCTTCAAAATGCATTTATTACATCCAAGATGTTACAGCAGTCCAGGGTCGTGGGTGACAGAGCTGTGCCTCCAGCTGTCAGCTCCAGCTGCAGGCAGGCCTGGAGACCCTTTGGTTTTGGTTACAATGCATTATATCCTTTGCTTTGCTGAGCATCTTAATACAGTAGAATCAATCTATACCTTAACTTTTATCTGTAGCCCATCATAACTACTATAATTACCATATTCATATTACTATTCTCCAATCACTAAAAGTTACTACAGTTTAAGCTGTTATTACAGTTTAAGTTAGAAGTTGTTTTTCAGTTTTCTTGCAGTGGAAAATTCTGAGACCTTTTTTCTACTTGCAACATTGGCAGGTTTTTTTGCCTGTGCTATCTTTCTGCTTGGTAAAAACATCTTCTTGTTTGAGGTGGGTTTATCCTTTGCTCTAAGCCATAAAAACCCCTTCTAACTAACACACCCTTTGGCTCCTTGGTTTTCCAATAAAACTGGCTCAGCAATTCTTTTCTTCTATATCAAAATTTGCTTCCATCTCTATTCCTTCTTCAGACTCTACATTCAAAACTCTTTCTCTTAAGCATACATATCTGTGAGACTTGTCAAACTTTCATCCTTCCCAACAGATAACAATTCTTATCTCATTTGCTTCTCCTCTGTTTTGTTCATGAGGAATGTGTTTGGAGATTGTTTCCCCACAAGTGATTGTTTCACTGGATTGTGGTGTGAGCTGTTTTGACTCTTTGGCCAATCAGGGCCAAGCTGTGTCAGGACTCTGGAGAGAGTCACGAGTTTTCATTATTATCTTTTAGCATTTAGTAAGTATCCTTTCTGTATTAGTGTAGTATAGTATTCTTTAATATGATATAGTACAATAAAGTAATAAATCAGCCTTCTGATAAGATGGAGTCAGATGCATTATTCTCTCCCCTTGTTGGGTTGCCTGCTTTTACAATAGACAGGCAAGTTCTGTGCCCCCCATGTCCCTCCTGGGGACACACACAGGACTTGGGGCTGGCACCACCTCTGTGGGTACCCCTGGTCTCCAAAAGTGACAAATAGCCAAGTGACAAATAGCCAAGTGACAAAGAAACCCTTAAATCTCAAGGCATTTCCGTGACTGAGATGAGTAAAGACTTAAATAAGAGTAAAGTACCTAAAGCTTGTGCAGCTTTGTGTGGCAGTCAGTTACCAGCGGAGTTTGTGTAACGGAATTAAAAGAAACAGGAAATACGTGAGAAGAAAACTTCTTTACTGGAGTGACATAATGAGATGTTAAATTGAGAATATTTAATTGCCCTTTTTTAGGAATCAGTGTTGTCATCATGCAAGAGAGGAATTAAAGCTGCCAAGATTCCTTGTAAAACTTTTTTGCTCTTTGTCTCCAATTTT